CTACTTTCTGCAATAGCTATTGTAATGTGAAGCTTCAGAAGAGATGATGACTTAGTGTAAGCAAATGGGTTCCAGGGAATCACTTACTCTCCTGAACCCTGCGATCACTCTAACAGGAACCCAACCTTCATCATTCATCTGATCCCGCAAGTGTGTATCTGAGCTTAAGTTATCAGCGCTGCGTTTCATAAATATTACCAAAAGACTGTTACTCACACTTGTGACAGAGGCAACGAATGGGATGAACCAGAAAGAAGTAGAAAGGTGAAAACAAGTCGAAAGAAAGCATTACCTGAAATAATATTCTACTTGTGTCAATATCCTATTGTACAACATGGCATCAATACTAGGCAAATACATTGGCAGAGGTGGGAAGTGTCCAACTAAAGCCATCGACTCTGGAGGTGGATGAGGGGCCATTAAGATGTGCGGCGCATAATCTGAAGATGTCAACATTAGTGGAATTAGAAATAGGAATGCATGAGAGAGAGCAATGCACAAAAAGGCATACCTGGGTAGAGCATGGGGCCACCTATTTGAGGCACTGCCATATGAAAAGATGGTGGCCCCATTGGTCTGATCATCCCAAAACCTCTCAAGTGCATGTCCCTCCCATTAAAGTTGCGGTGAGGAGGAAAGCCACTCTGCTCATAATTGCGCCTGTGGCCATGGTCATTACGAGGGTAAGAGTTGGTGTTGCGATGATTCCTATTGGAATGACGGTTCTGAGTAGCAGGTCCTGAGCCACCGCCACCCCTTTGGGTGTGATTCTGATCTCTGGTGTTGGAGATGTTACTAGTGGAAGATGATGATGAAGTGGTGTTATTCCGTTTAAAAGGTTTCCTTTGACCAGTAGCAGCACTCGAGCCAGCATTGGCATCGGGAGTAGAACTGAGAGGAGCCTGCAGTAAAGTAAATTGGGATGATGAAAACGCAAAACAAGTATTTGATTCAAAACTAAAGTGACATGCAGATCAATTAGCGAGTTTTTTCAATCCCTAAATCGTACCTTGGGAGATGAAAGTGTGGAAGATTCGAAAGACTTGTTGTTGGAAGAAGAAAGAGAGAGAGCAGGCCAGGATGCGGCACCCATGACAGGGCCGACCTCGGAGGAGCTAGTAGAAGGCTTGTTCCAGACGGGCTTCTTGTCACCGGCATTGTCCTTGTCGGGCATCCAGGGAGGGGAATCGGAACGTGATCGCGACATTGAGGAATCAATGGAGTAGCGAGGGATCGCTGAACCAGAATTAGCGGCGGTCGTAGCCATCATAGGAGGAGGAAAAGAGGCAGAGAGAGAGGAAACGCCGGTGGCTCCGGGATTTTCGAGTTTGTGTTTGCCCTTACAAACACCAACGCCCCCTCCACAATTACTAATATACCCCCTTCCCTCGTTGGTGAATCTTTTTTGTTCCTATTCGTGTTAATTATTTATTCAATTAATTACGATTTCATTTGTTTACGCATTCGACGACACTGGTAATTAAAAAC